GGGTCCACCCGTTCGAGGGGAACACTCTACTGCTGAGCCACAATCTCAGCCCAGGAATTAATTTTTAAATGACTTGGTTGAAAAAAGTGGGAACATAACACTCTTGCACTTGAAAAGAATATTTTTGCATGACATTGAATTTCTTCTGTTCTTGAGAAATTAAAACCTGTTACAGTCACATGATTGTAATCCTAGCTGCACTGGAGGAGGCTGAGACAGGAGGATTAAGAGTTCAAAACCAGCCTCAGCAATTTAGCAAAACTCTGTCTCAAAAAAAAAAAAAGCCTGATGATTAAGTACCCCTGATTTCAATACCCAGTACAAAAGAGAGAGAGAGAGAGAGAGAGAGAGAGAGAGAGAGAGAGAGAGATATTAAGAAAGAAATTAAGGCTATTACATATTGGAGCAAAAGTTAATAAATGTATAACAGAGAAACTTCAAACCATCTTTTATAAAATTATTTTGAAGATAATGGTGAAAACATTGTGCACATGGAAGGAATTGCCAGGAATATAAGAGAAAAAGCCTGTTAGGGTGCAGGAGGGTGGAGTCTGAGGTCCCTTTGTTACAATTTCAGTTTTGGTCACCCTCAGCCACTGCTTAGGTATGTAGCCCCAGGAAGTGTCTTTGTGAAACTCAATTTCTTCATAGGGTATGATAGTGTCTACCTCAGTGAGTTGCTCTGAGGATTAGAAAACAGCAACTGTGTATTGCAAGTAGAAACTCAATAAACTTATTACTTTTTAGATTTTAGATTCCATTGAATAATTTATAATTGTAAAAAAAATAAAAATTAAAAATTTTTTTAAAAACCCACCTGTCATTATACTTGTTGTTTTCTTATTGACTCTGAACTTTATTTTATTTTGTTTTGTTTTTAGTGAACAAGGTCTTGATGAACTTATTAATGTAAACCCCAAAGCTGTCCAAAGCACCTCTGGGTAAGARAAGAATATTATTTACTTGTTTGGTTTTCCTTCTTTATAACTATGCACAGTGTGAATATAAATGCCATAATCATTCTACGGGCAAATTAGATATAGATCTTGAAATATCATCACAGTTTTTATATGTCCCTGGAAACCTAGTTGTTAACRACAGAATTTGTTAATTGCCAGAAAGAGGCTGCTGATGACAATGAATGGTGGCCCCATCTCTTTCCTCAGCCTCAAGTAAAGCAGTTGAAGGGAATGATTGGAGAAGGAGGTGCTAGGAACAGAGCCAGTCCAAGAGCTGTTTTGTTTTGTTTTTGTGTGGCATTGATATTAATACTTTTGTCTCTAGAATTTAAATTCTTAGTGATAATTAATTTAAAAAATAGACCTATAAACTTCATTAGACTCATTGGTAGTATCATTTACATCCTTTTGGAAGTGTTTCCTGGGCAACACCAGAACTTTGAGGTTCATTGATCTTTAGAGGGTTTGGTGGACCAAAAATTTGGTAATTCTGTAAGTAGTTTCTCTAAGATAATGAAATTCTCTTTTTGTTCCTGGTTCTATGAAAATTTTCACATCATCATTACACCTTACTCTTAGAAATCTTAGAAATGTTTTCATGATTTCCTTTTTAAGTTTTGTTGTTACCTTAAAAAAAAAAAAAGATGAAGAAAGAAACCTCAGAGAATCCTAGCCTCGTTAATTTGAACAATTTTGAAAACCACTGTTCCAGCTGAAATTGCTCATTTTGTCAAAGAGGAAATTAGGACATGGAAAGGTTAAGTGATTTGACCAGGGTCACAGAGAAAATCAGTGTAAGACTGATAGTAGTTCTGTGATCTCTTAAGCAGTGAATAATTACCGAACACCTACTGGGTTCACAATTTAAGACTAGGTATCATTAGTTGCACATTAGGTATAATTATAGGCTGTGGACACCAAAAAGAGAATTCAGTAGTCATACTCAATCTTATGAACAGCAGGCAATTAACATAGATTAAAGCTAATTATGTACCAGGGGCACAGAGATGTTACTCCAAGACAATAATAGGTTGTCAGTTTAATATATTACATTTCAGAGCACTCATGTACTGCTTGCTGAATATAGAATATATTGTCAGTGAATTGCATTTAAAAAGAAAAAAAGAAGCATTAAAAGAGGATATAATAAACACGATAGGAAGTAAAATTCATATTCATGGAGTCCTGGAAGAGAAGCCAGTGATGAGCAGAGCCTTAGAGATTATCCAATCCAAGCTCCTCATATAGAAATGAGAATACTCAGGCCAGAGAGCAAAAATCCCGTCATCTCCTAGGAGTTCTTCTAACTCTCAGCCCAACTCTGGTCTTTACAACCACAGCACGAGTTTGATCTTGAAGTAAATGAAAGTTAATTAAACACCTCAGGAAATAGTGGAGAGGAGCAGATAGGATTGCTGCTCTTATTGTGGGACAACCAGGATGTGCCCTCTACTGTTTTCACAGTGTCCTGTGAAGAATTACTTCATGAATGACAATGGCACAGGATGCAAAAGACTGCAAAATGTCTTACAGCATTTAAACCTTCAGAAGTCACAATACTAGTTCTAATGCATTAGAATGCATTCTTTGCCACACCCTGAAAGCAAAATTAATGAAAGCAGTAACTTGAGTAGGAAAGATGTTACATATTCCCTGGATAAAATTTAGATATTAGATTCCTTTTTTATCAGGACTCAGGTCAAGAAAAAAAAGTCAATATTTTGTTGTTTTCATTYCATTGAGATAAATTGCCTATGCTGTCAACCAAGACAGTTCAGCATTATTGCTAAGATCCTGATTTTATTAACACATGGCGTTGCCTTTTATTGAAGTAGTAGTAGGACTTAACATCTGTTTTCTAAGCTAGAGTTTCTCAAATCATGGGTCACCATTCATTCAAGGATGTTGTAGTTATTTTAGTGAGTAATAATCAGCCTCACCTCTTCAATTGAATAAGCTTAATCAAATAGAAAATGTGAGAATTCTAATCGAGTAGGGTATTATTTTGTGTAATTCACATATTTTCCATATGTGATTCTGTTCGTGTCTGTCTGGAAAAGAGAGAGTATTGGGCTGTAATATAAATACAGCCAATAAGAAAATAAGAAATCAGACCAATAAGAAAATGCATTTCTTATTGGTCTTTACAAAATATTAATCTATAAAATATTAATCGGTAATATTAATGTAAATATTATTCATATAAATATAAATACTATTTACATGCACATAAATATTAATATAAAATATTAAATATTTCTTATCTAGAATGATAGATGATCAAATCTTCTGTGCTTAGCAGAACAAGTGTAAATGGAAGCCCCTGTGTCTGTTTTTGCATTTTCTATGCTCCCTCTTCTTAATTATGCTAAGGAGTATTCTATGTAGTTATACTAAAATATATTGGGATTAATTTTATATGTATAAAAAGGCTTTTGAACATACTATCCCCTCTACAAAGTTTTATTCCTTGTTAGTTTTTTCTTTTACATTTTGAAGTTAACCGAATTTTAAGCTTTGTTTTTATGGCATACTTTTTTTTTATGGCACAGTTTTGTTTTATGACACTTTTTTTTTTTAATCTTTACTAGCTCACTTAATCCTCACAGTACTTTTTATAACATATTTTTCTATCAATTTATATGAAGAAATTATGTTTGGGCTAGTTCTCATTTGGCAATCATTCTTTTAATGGTGTTTGCAGATACCAATAGATAGTCTTTAATTTTGTATATTACATAGAGGCTAATTCAAAAGTGTGAAAGTCCAGATAGGGACTTTCCATCCACTGTGGAGATGTGAGAACCAGAAGAGATCTCCAGAATGGAGTCATGAGCTGAGAAGCACATTGCATGGAAAGATTGAGGCTGGGGAGGGGAACGTAGACCCTAGGCCTTTTTAAGGATTCATCTCTAAATGACGCACTTTCAGTTTGTAACCTTGCATCAATTTTTTTATACCTTTATTTCTTTATTTATTTTTATTTAGTGCTGAGGATTGAACCCAGTGCCTTGCACGTGCTAGGTGAGCCCTCTACCATTGAGCCACAACCCCAGCGCCGCCCCCCACCCCATCAATCTTTTTTTGAGTAAAATGCATTTTGTTTTTAGATAAGAAAAAAGGATTGCAGGGGATGGGTACAGACTGGTTGCTGTCTCAGATGGAAGGGAATGCAGGGGTTACCAGCCTTGTGCAATCTCTTGCCAGGCATTTGCCATGCATTTCTCTGAATACATGTTAAAAAAGGGTTTAGAGAGACACTGAAAATAATCACCACTTTGTAGTCCTTAAAACTAGAGATATATCAAGGCAGTGACTGAGAACAGACCATAGGGGAGGAAATACTATTTCTTGCTGAAAAAAGAAATTGGTACGATGGGGAGTGAACAACTTTCAGAGGATGTATCTAATTTAACTATGAATAATTAAATTCAATTCAGGTTTTTAGTCGTCATAGAGGAAAGAAAAGGGCAGGAAGCATACTACTGTGGTAGAATACTTGCCTAGCATGGTAAAGAGCCTCACTTCCATCCTCAGCACTAAATAATAATGATAATAGTAATAATAATAATAAAATAAAATGGAAGGAAAAAAGTTATGTTAAGAATAAGGAATAAAACCTGTTTTAGACCTTATTGTTTCAAAGAATTGATACCCTTAGTTACAATATAATTTAAGAAATGGCAAAGGCATTAGAATCAGTTCTTAATATTGTAGAAGTCTTCTGGAGTGACAAATTGTCAGTCACTGGGTGTTGGCTGTGGAAGTACCTCGCCTGCACGTCCTTGTAGATAGATGTGCTTCTGCAGCCAAGTGTGAGAAGTCAGAGTAAGTTTCCTTCTCTCACAGCATAATTCTTCCTCCTCTGGATGGGTTAGAAGACTCATGGCATGGAGGTTCTACATCAAAAGACCATGTCTCACTCTGTCATCCTCTCCTCCATTCACAATGACCTGAAATCCTATTATCTCTAACCCAAGCTGCTTCATCTTTTTTTTTTCCCCTTAAAGAAATCAAGATCTTGATAAGCTCATCAAAGTGAATCCCGAAATTCTCACAAACAACCAAAGGTAATAGAATACATTTTTATTTTAAATGTGCTTTGGTCAAGAGTATTTTGTTTTATTATAATTTCAAGCAGATTTATAACCTTAACAATTTTACCAAAAAAAAAAAACCACCAACAACTCTATATCACTTTGATTTGTAATATTTTGTCATGTTTGATTTTAAATAATTTAATCTGAGTTGTTATATATGATAGCATCTGCTTGTGTTCTTCTTGGTCAGTCATTTAATAGCTTAAAATGGTAAAGTAATTATAATAACACACACAAAGTCATACTAAAAACTAACAATCACTGAATTTCACCTAATATTTAAGTTTCTAATTGCATGTATCATAACTATATTTTAAAGTTCACTTAAATACAAATAATTTTCACACATTGTTATTTTCTGATGTTTCTTTGATTTACTTATCTTTTAATATGATGAAGCACATTATTTACATTATTCTGTGTAATTAAAATGCACTAATAGGGGCTGAGGTTGTAGTTCAGTGGTAGAGTTCTTGCTAGCATGTGTGAGGCACTGGGTTTGATCCTCAGCACCATATAAAAATAAATAAACAAAGTAAAGGTATTGTATCCATCTACAAACTAAAAACAATTTTTTAAATGCACTAATAAAATATATTTTAATTGTTGGAAAAAATAACTTTATCACTAAATGCTCTCTTTACCTTTTTTTTCATTTAAAGAAACCAAGATCTGGATAACTTCATCAAAGTGAATCCTGTAGTAATCAGAAACAATCAGAGGTACTCAAATAAAAGCAGTTAATCCCATTTTGATCTCTCTGTTGTCCCTGGATGATGTGGATTTGTATCATGGCTTTATTGATTTCAACCTGCAAAACATTTCACTAACCTGAATTTTTCTTTGTCTCTTTAAATAGCCAAGACCTGGATCATCTTATTAATGTGAAACCTTCAGCTCTGGAGAACTCTAATCGGTAAATGGCCTTGCCTGATTATTTTGACATATTCCCAAGGTTCTATCTAGGGTAGGGATTTTCTTTCTTTTTTGAAGAAGGCTTTTATTTTTCTTTGGTGTTACAAATGAGGATGCATTTATAGCCCACGTGTATCCTGTCTACAAGGAAACACTCACTCTTCTGGAATCAATTGAACTACTTTAGAATCAGTTTCGTGCTTCTTCTTTGCACTAACAACTTAATATTTGTTGTCTACAGGAAGCAGGGTTTCAAGACTGAAATGAAAAGTGAATAAAATTAAATAAAAGAAAAATATTTTTGAAATTGAACCAATTTGGAAAAGAAATTTAGGGTCTTTAGAAGCTTAGATCTACAATTTGTCTAGGCTTGCCAAACATCACAGCAGATTTTAATCTTGAACTTCCACCTTGAGTTTGCTATTTTTATATCATGTCTTCCACTCAAGGTGCTTTATTAGTATATAATAAAGTATAGATTATTCACCTGTGTATACTGTATTGGAAGTTCAAAACATTCTGCTGACTTGATATTTTATCATAATAAATAATAGCTGGGAATCATGGCCCAACATTCTGAGATGAAAGACAATAAATTATTTATGAAAAAGTACTTTGAATCCAGTCAGAGAAAAGGGCAATGTAACACACTAATTGGCCTCTTAAGCTTTTCTACGTCAGTGCTTCATTTTTCTCTTTCTGTTTCTGTGTTTTTATCACTGGGGTCTTGGGTCTTGGAAGGCAGAAGGCAGATGAAGAGCAATTGAGGCTTAGAGTACTTGCAGAGCCCCTATGACTTGCGATTTATATACATTTAGTCCTTACAACAACACCTCATGAGAAATAGTCTAGTATTTTGTGGAAGAGGATACTAGAACTAAAAGATACTTAGTAGCCCTCTCAAGAAAGAAAACACCTCCATCTAACTGTGTCTGATGTCACTACCTAGAGGGAGAACAGAAGATCTGTGTTTAAATGCCCACCAACTCTCTTCTTTCAACCTTTCATATCTCTATTCCCCTGTTTTCCCTACACATAGTTAAAGGGCTTTTTAAATTTTTTAAATTTTATAATTTTTATGGATCTGGGGAGTTGAACCCAGGGCCTGAGCATGCTAGGTGAGCACTCTCTCACTCAGTTACATCCCTAGTCCTTGAATGGAAATGTTTTACTGGCTGAAATAACAAGAAACTTGTGATTCAGATCTTGCCACTGATAATTATATGGAAATAACTTAAGTAGAACCATTTCTTCATAGTGGTATTTGTTAGGGTAGACTTTTCTTTACATTAGAAATAGTCCTAAAAGGTTTCCAATCATGTTGGAAATAGATTTAATAATCATATTGTACAATAATTAAAAATGGAAAAAATTTTTTCCCCTCTCTCTACTTCTCTCTGCCCCGCTCCTTCCCCCACTCCCATCCCCTGTTCTCTTTTCTCTGCTGCTCTCCTCTCCCCTGCCTCTGCCTCTCTGGCAAGTGTTCTACGTTGACAATAGCAACATAGCATCTGCTTTTCGTTTACTTGCAAGAGACTAATTTTACGAAAAGTTGTATTTCAACAACTCCTAAACAAACATACATGGAAACAGGACATTTTCTTCCCACAAGTATGATGACTACAAAAAGGAAATTGAAAAATTCATTATCATGATCTTTTAAGATGGCATCTTGGTCCACAAGAAGGATTTGTGCCTGATCATTCTTTGGTCGCACACCAGATTTGATGATTATCAGCCAGAAATTCCAAGAATTGTTACAGAGCAGATAAATGGGAAATACTGAACTCTTTGAAAAGAGTGACTTCATTCAGTCGATACAGCCACCTGTATCTATCTATATTGCAGCCATGCTGCCCTCTTGATTTTAAATGCAGGTAGAGAAAAAAAAGGGTATTTTAAAACACCTCCTGGTAGGAAGAACAGCCACAAGGCACTTTTACATCAATTCAGTGAGACACAAGCACTGATTATTTAATAGTATAACAGCAGTGAATCAGAATCCTTTTATGTGACTTTGCTGACATCTCCTGCAGCTGTATATTTAATTCACAGTTAGGGGCTGAATAAACTTCAATCATCTATCAGAATGTAAGCAGGCATCCCTGAACTGCTTCTTGGAACACAACAACCAGAACAAATGCAGATGTGCACAGAATTTTTATTTATTCAGTGAGAAATTGCCTGACTTTTAGCAGCAACATGAACCAACATTTGAGAGATCTTCAGTTATCTGTAGCCTATAAACTGTTAGACTAATTATTAAAACTGAATTTTTGCTCCTGAATGAATATAGAAAAGCACACCTGTTCATCTAAGGCTTCCCAGTGAGAAAAGGCATTCATTCACGTAAAGCAGAAAATAAAAAATAAGTTCTATTTGTGATTTTATACTTTCATCTTTTTAAGGGCTATTTGTTAACATGTACCTCCAAGTTTTTAGTTTTCCAGCAATAGAAAAGTTCCTTCCTGTCTTCCTACTGGTTGTTTCTCCTATTTCTGTTCAAGACATAAACCCAGGGAAATCCTCGACTCTTGCTTCACTTCCCATCATCAATCAATCAATCACTTTGGTGCTTCTCCTCATCATTTCAGGAAATGACCCTAGGACTGCTGTCATCCAGACTGCTTGTCCAGTCTCCAAAGGGTTCCTCTGCTGCCAGTCTTACTTATGTCCTTCAATCACTGTAGCTGATCTTCTTAAAACCCAAATCTGATCCTGTTTTTCTAATTAAAATCCTTCAGCGGCTTCCCGTTGCCAATAGGTCATGACCCTGCCGCTTAACCTGGTTTTCAAAGCCCATCATGATCTGGCCTCTGCAGGCTTTCCCACCCCAACTCCTGTTCCTTCCCACTTACAAGTAAACTCTATCCACCAGCCTCTCACTCACTGGACTGCTCTTCACTCCTCCTTCCATGTTACTGCCTGGATAACTTCTGCTTACCCTTCAGGTACCAGTGTAGGTGTCTCTCACTCAGGTTCTGGAAAGCCCTACCCACCATGTGTGCATCATCCTCTAGATGTTCTCAAGCTCTGTCCTTCCTGTCCCCTAACATTTGTCCCTTAGAGAGAATTGTTATTTAATCCTCTCTCTCTCTCTCTCTCTCTCTCTCTCTCTCTCTCTCTCTCTCTCTCTCTCTCACCTCATTAGTGTCAAGGACTGGATCCGTCGTGTTTATTCTTTATACTGTTTAGCACAGTGGCACAGTATCTGGCACATATGAGGTTAAATATTCTGNAAAAAAAAAACCACCAACAACTCTATATCACTTTGATTTGTAATATTTTGTCATGTTTGATTTTAAATAATTTAATCTGAGTTGTTATATATGATAGCATCTGCTTGTGTTCTTCTTGGTCAGTCATTTAATAGCTTAAAATGGTAAAGTAATTATAATAACACACACAAAGTCATACTAAAAACTAACAATCACTGAATTTCACCTAATATTTAAGTTTCTAATTGCATGTATCATAACTATATTTTAAAGTTCACTTAAATACAAATAATTTTCACACATTGTTATTTTCTGATGTTTCTTTGATTTACTTATCTTTTAATATGATGAAGCACATTATTTACATTATTCTGTGTAATTAAAATGCACTAATAGGGGCTGAGGTTGTAGTTCAGTGGTAGAGTTCTTGCTAGCATGTGTGAGGCACTGGGTTTGATCCTCAGCACCATATAAAAATAAATAAACAAAGTAAAGGTATTGTATCCATCTACAAACTAAAAACAATTTTTTAAATGCACTAATAAAATATATTTTAATTGTTGGAAAAAATAACTTTATCACTAAATGCTCTCTTTACCTTTTTTTTCATTTAAAGAAACCAAGATCTGGATAACTTCATCAAAGTGAATCCTGTAGTAATCAGAAACAATCAGAGGTACTCAAATAAAAGCAGTTAATCCCATTTTGATCTCTCTGTTGTCCCTGGATGATGTGGATTTGTATCATGGCTTTATTGATTTCAACCTGCAAAACATTTCACTAACCTGAATTTTTCTTTGTCTCTTTAAATAGCCAAGACCTGGATCATCTTATTAATGTGAAACCTTCAGCTCTGGAGAACTCTAATCGGTAAATGGCCTTGCCTGATTATTTTGACATATTCCCAAGGTTCTATCTAGGGTAGGGATTTTCTTTCTTTTTTGAAGAAGGCTTTTATTTTTCTTTGGTGTTACAAATGAGGATGCATTTATAGCCCACGTGTATCCTGTCTACAAGGAAACACTCACTCTTCTGGAATCAATTGAACTACTTTAGAATCAGTTTCGTGCTTCTTCTTTGCACTAACAACTTAATATTTGTTGTCTACAGGAAGCAGGGTTTCAAGACTGAAATGAAAAGTGAATAAAATTAAATAAAAGAAAAATATTTTTGAAATTGAACCAATTTGGAAAAGAAATTTAGGGTCTTTAGAAGCTTAGATCTACAATTTGTCTAGGCTTGCCAAACATCACAGCAGATTTTAATCTTGAACTTCCACCTTGAGTTTGCTATTTTTATATCATGTCTTCCACTCAAGGTGCTTTATTAGTATATAATAAAGTATAGATTATTCACCTGTGTATACTGTATTGGAAGTTCAAAACATTCTGCTGACTTGATATTTTATCATAATAAATAATAGCTGGGAATCATGGCCCAACATTCTGAGATGAAAGACAATAAATTATTTATGAAAAAGTACTTTGAATCCAGTCAGAGAAAAGGGCAATGTAACACACTAATTGGCCTCTTAAGCTTTTCTACGTCAGTGCTTCATTTTTCTCTTTCTGTTTCTGTGTTTTTATCACTGGGGTCTTGGGTCTTGGAAGGCAGAAGGCAGATGAAGAGCAATTGAGGCTTAGAGTACTTGCAGAGCCCCTATGACTTGCGATTTATATACATTTAGTCCTTACAACAACACCTCATGAGAAATAGTCTAGTATTTTGTGGAAGAGGATACTAGAACTAAAAGATACTTAGTAGCCCTCTCAAGAAAGAAAAC